GTAGTTCATCTCATGATAAAATTGCATAACATGTAATGAACCTAAAGCAGTGATATTATAGTGCAAAAAATTAAAATTTAAAAGCTATCAAGACTACATTATAAAAATTTCAAAAGCCCCCTAAAATTTAAATCAAAAAAGGGGGGATGGTAGAAGAATATCATGTAAGGAAAAATATCCTGTAAGTAAATTACATCTAGAAAATTTTTACTTTAGAAAATTTAGTGTAATGCTCACAGTAAGACACCCATGAAAAACAATTACAGTATCAAAACAATACAGAGGGAAATCATTTGGGCAAGAAATGAAACATGATCCTAAGCCAATTTTATAGAAAATATTCCATTACTAACTTTTGGTCGAGAATATGTTTGTATATTTTCATAAAACAACTCTGAGACCCTGTGGATTCTGGCAACAGAGAGGAATTGACAGGACTACTCCAGCCATGAATTCAAAAGAGAAGCATTCCAGAGATGGAAGACACTGACATTTCACCTTGCCAAACTAGTGTGTCACTGCAGGTTGCTCAGGACCAAATCAGAGAGGGTCAGACCTACATACTACCATTTGTCCACCATCCAGAACTGAAATATCATTGCTGACATGTACTCATAAGGAACTGTTTGGCATTGAAATTGGGTCTCAAAAGAACTGTTGGCCCAGAAAAAAACACACTATAGACAAATTCATTTGCCTTTCAGCATAACCATTATTGCTTGTCTCATTTTCGGTTCTTATAAGTGTATTTCTAGTAAGACATGATCTCACTCATCTAGAGGAAATGATGAACAACATAACTGATGAATAAGAACAGACCCAGGGTCAAGGAAGCATGGATCAGACTGTTGGACCTTAGAGGGAAGGTAGGGGAGGGTGGGAATAAGGGGGAGGGATGAACCAAAGGACTTGGGTGCATGCATACATATGAGCCTAAGCAGTGGTCAAGGAAAACAAGGGGGTGGAGCATGCGTGGGCAGGGGTGTGGGATGGAAATGGGGGGATGATGACAAATATGTGATACCTTAATCAATAAAAAAATTAAAATGTATATATATTCCCCTTTAATATACACAAATTTTGTGCACTGGGCCACTAGTAGATATATAAAAGCCAAGCGACTAGAAAGACCAGAATGACAGGAATGACCAGTTGCTATGATGCCCAATCGGGGGCAAAGCCAGCCCTCCAACCTCCTGCAGCCCCTTCCTCCATTTGGCCCTATCCCTAATTGGCCCCCACACCAGGTTGGGGCTGGCTGGTCTCCTGCAGGGCCCTCACTTCCCCCTCCCATCCTGGCCCTTATTGGCCCTGATTAGGGCGGGCCAGCTGGACCCCACCTGTACATGAATTCGTGCACGTGGTAACTAGTACCATTATATGAAATTTGCAGATTATTGTCCACAAATTTTATTTGAATAGAGTCACACCTATTTGTTTGCATATTGTCTATGACAGTCAAACTATGAAAAAAGAATTGGATTTTAAAGAGACTATAAGCTAGCTCAAGAACTTTGCTACTGGAAATAAGTTGGCAACCATTTGGTTTTCAGAAGGCATTTTGGTATTGAATCAGAAGTCTTTGTCCTTACTGTCCAATTTCTAGATATTGATCCTGAGGACTTAAGATTTCATTAGCTCATTATTTAGTAAAGCATTAGGTAATAAAAATCCAACAGAGGTCTGTATCATAACAGCCATTGAAAATGTAAATTACGTTAGTGTGCATTTAAATAAAGATCTTAAACAAGAAAAAAAAATAAAGAGACCATAGCCATTTACTTTATGATGCAGAAAAGGTTGCTGACATCTGATCTCAGATTGTGAATTCCCTTTATAATTTTTACATAGCTCTTTAGAAACATTGGTGAGGTCTGTTTTACTAGAAACAATCATTTTCATGATAGATAACTATGCTTTTGACTTTCATGGATATAGAAACATTCTGGAACATCCTACCTAATAAAGAGTGAATATGCTAATTGACCCTTACACCATTTCAAAGATGGCGGCACCCACAGTCAATAAAGAGGGAATATGCTAATTGACTGCCCTGCCCTAAAAAATGGTGATGTCCACAGCCATATGATGGAGACATATAGTCCCCTCAGCCCCACCTGCCTCTGAAGTTCCCCTGTCTTATCAGCCCCCTAGTCCCACAAGGGCCAGCCTGTGGTATAGGCTAGCCTTGGATGGCAGCTGCCCAGCCACCTAGGGCTGCCCAAAGCTCAGGTAACCAGGGCTGGCAGTGGCAGCAGCAGAGGTGTGATGGGGCATCGCCTTCCCCTGATTGCTGGGTCGCCTCCCACCCCTGAGGGCTCCTGGACTATAAGAGGGAGAAGGCTGGGCTGAGGGACCCCCCCCCCCCACCCTTCCAGTGCATGAATTTTCATGCACTGGGCCTCTAATCTATGCATATGCTTTTATAATTTCATGTGATGGTAGTGTACACTCAAGTGGACCAGTCCATGGCAGCTGCTGCTCTCTGTACAGTAGGGGTGTCGAACTCAATCAGAGAAGGGGCCAAAATCTAAAATCCAGCCTAAATCGCGGGCCGAATGGTTTACTGAACAGTCATAAACTGTCATTGTGATGGAAACGCAGCGGAGCGCAGTGATGACAGCGCGGTGCGGGCCACATTGCAAGGCCTGGAGGGACTGATTTGGCCCGCGGGCCTTGTGTTTGACACATGTGCTGTACAGGCTCATGATGGATCTCAGAAGCAATGGGAGTGTTTGAATGAGTGTCTGGTCCCTGCAGGCCAATATAATGTTCAGACCATTTATACTCATTGTAAGTTGCCACTAACAACACAAGAATTGTGTTGTGACTTGTCAATGTGTTTCATGATATCATAAAAGACTGATGTTAGTCTTGGTGTCTAAACTGTCATAGTCAAATAGTCCCCAAGACCAAGATTTCTTCTCAGACAGTCTAAAGAACATGGGGTCCCAGTAGCTCAGCTGTTGGCCTTACTCTTGGAGAGTCCCAGAGATGCTCAGGGCCACAACATCCCTGGCCTTTGGCCTCTCTCTTAGAGATTCCTAATGAGGCCTAGTGCCTGGGCAGCCTGCACCCTGGGCATCTATCCTGTAAGTTCAAATGATGCCTTGTAGCCTAATACATCCAAATTATATGAAATTCACACTCTAGTATCCACAACTAAAGATTTATTTGAATGCAGTTTTAAAACAGGCCAAACACCATTTATCTACACTCTGGCTGGTCAAGAAACAGCTTGCTGACCTTTGGTCTAGGACAGTGGTCTGCAAATTGCATCTCTCAGCCATATGCGGCTCTTTGGCCCCTTGAGTTTTTACCAAAGGCCAGCTTAGGAGTACCCTAATTAAATTAATAACAGTGTACCTACCTATATAGTTTAAGTTTAAAAATTTTGGCTCTCAAGAGAAATTTCAATCATTGTACTGTTGATAGTTGGCTCTGTAGACTAATGAATTTGCCAACCACTGGTGTAGGATCTTGAATTTTCTTTATAACCTTTGCATAGCCATTTAAGTACTTTGGAGAAACCAGTTTTTATAAAGATAATTTGTTCATACTAAGTAACAATTCCTGATTATAAAAATGTCTGTAACGATGTTTCATAAATCCTTGTGAAGTTGGAGTAACTCACATGAAAGCAGCCCACTGCAGCTGCTGCTCTCTGTACAAGTCCTTGATGGAGCTCGGAGGGAATGGGAGCTGGAATGAGCACAGGCCTATCTGGTGCTCAGAAACTCTAGCCTCACTGTAAGTGGCCCCTGCCAGCACAGGAACAAAGCCTGGGAGAGTGCGAAGATCCCAGCCAGTGGGCAACCAATCACCTGCTGGGCTTTGGAGTGTGGTGCAGGGCCCTAGCTTCCAGCTGAGCCTGCCACTAGGTGTGTCTACCTTCAGAGAGAGAGATCTCTGCCTCTTGGGAATGAGACATCCAGCCTGTTAACATGCCGAAGCTACAGGGTATTGAGGGACCAGTAAGATGTCTACTCACAAAGGGCTGGTGGTGGCACAGTGCAATCCTGCTAGTATTAGGGAAACTGACACAGTGGAGCTGGTAAAACTGGAGCCACTGATAGAGAAGAACTGCAAATGGGAAATCAATGACCCACATAAGGAAGAGCAAGCATGCCAAGGAGGAGGAGGTGCGGTCCTCACCCTTCTGCTGCATGCACTCCATGCCCTGGAGAAGATGGAGAAGTTCATGTGTGAGGTCTGGAAGAGACCTGGTGCGCCATCAGTATGATGTGCTCCCTGTCTGGCTGAAGAACTGCGATGCACTGCCTCAGGCCATAAGCCACCCATCCCTCTTCCAGGAGCATCTCCCGCATCCATACAGAAAGCAGCTGTAACTGGGCTCCCCTGCGTGGGTTTGTGCTGTTTTCTTCCTGGGACTCAACATGATCACACCAAATATGTATTCCACGGCTCCTGTAGGAGAAAGTGTTTTGTTTTGTTTTAAAAATATATTTTGGCGGAGCTTGAAGATGGCGACCGAACAGTTGGACTTGTTCTGACTCTGGTCCCAGAACAGATAGAAACAGCATCTGAGTCGCTCAGGGAATGTTGATTGGCAGCTAAGGGGCTTCGGAATTCTCTAGGAAGGTAAGGAAAGGTCCGCTGGACAGGATTTCCGACCAAGAGGCCAGCACTGCCGCGGCTGCGGCGGCTCTCCCAGCGAGCTCTCGCGGAGAGAAGGCAGCGCCATCTTACCAGGAAAGGAGGAGCATCCCTGAGGCCTGGAAAAACACACAGCGGGGAGGTCCATTGAGCAGCTGAGACGCCCGAATCGACACGGGCGCGTGGAATCCGGGGAGTTCTTCGGTCACCCACGGAAAGGTCAGAGTTTGCGGGGACAGCCTAGGGGACCGGGGTCCCGCGGCCCAGACAGCTACGGTAGCCGGGGAGCTCCAATCCCTCCCTCAGGGTAGCCGGGAGCGCGCACTACCGCCCGCAAGCAGCACCCAAAGAAGGCTGCAGCGACACCTAGTGCTGGGTTTGACGTAATCCTCCCCAGAAGCGGGACTTGTTTAAAACGCCACAGGTCACTGGACAGAGCGTTAAGAATCTCGGCTGTTTCGCCAAGGGCGGAACATCTGGACACCTTGGTGCCTGATCCCCTTCACCCCCTTGCTTCTGAATACTAGGGAAGGACTGCCCAGTTGGGCATATCCGGGGAAATTGCAGGGGGAAATTGCCTTCCTGGAAACAAGGGATCTGTACCAGAAGAGATAGTCTGGGAGCCAGCTGGCACCCTGCCAGCTAGAGCCATAGAGAAAGAAGGCCAGAGCAACCAAAAGACTGGGAGGTCAAACCAGTAACACTGACACCTAAGAGCTGAATTACAAACTGCCTTTTTTTTTTTTTTTTTTTTTTTTTTTTTCCTTCTCTTTTCTTTTCTTTTATCTTTTAATTAATCAAAAATAAATGGACACAAATAACTAAGATATAGTCTACTTAAAATTAAGGATTACCTTACAAATCTGAGGTGCAGTGAAATGCTGGGAACTGCAAGACTTTCTGGGCCGAGAATCAGGAGTGCCAAATACATTAACAGAGGAAGTGAATGACCACTACTGGACATTTTTATGCTAATTTTACTATTATTTTATTTTCATTTTTTACCTCTTTTATTTAATCTTCATTTTTTATATCTTTTACTTAAGAAACGATTTTTTTTTCTTACTTGATTTTACCTTTTTAATTATTACATTTTTCAATCTCTATCATCACTATTACTACTGCTATTTTGTAAATTTTTTTTTTCTTTCCCTCTTCAGTACCATTTTATTTTTTTTCTTTATTTTACCTTGGGAGTAACCTTCATTCTATTTTAATCTCTACTATAGCATCATTCAACCCTATCTCAACTCGATCTTTACACCATCACTCTCTTGCTAAACTTTACCCTTTTAGTCTACAGTTTATCCTATCCCTTTCTGGCTTTAGTTTTTCCTCTATTCTTTCTGTATACCCCCTGTTAAAACTCTCACTATACGTATAGACCTATGTTCCAACCCCTGATCCAAGTGTATAAATACCAATCTCTGCACTAGATTAACTAGTTAAAAAAAAAAAAAAAAAAAAAAAAAAGAAAGAAAAATTGTTCTCCCCTCTATCCTTTTCGCATTGTTTGTGTGAAGGTTGATTATTGTGAATTTTTAGGCTTGTTAGTGAAATTGTTATGCTTATTACTGTGTTGTTATTGTTGCTTTGTATTTTTTTTTTAAATACTCTGTTTTTGTTTGTATCTTTTACTTCTGTATATCATAGCCTTACTTAATAATAGGGGATATTGTAGTTTGTATTAATCTCCAAGTATTGTTACTGGCATTGGCTGGGTTCAGTGGTTGTTCTATGGCAGTTTTCTCCACATATATATAGTTTGTTTCCCATTTCTCTTTTAGTTTGCTTCTTCTCTCTCTTTCTCTCTCTCTCTCCTTTCTTTTTTTCCCTGTTTTCCAACTTTATTTTGTCATTACTTTTTTTCCTCTTTTTCTATCTCTTTATCCCTCTTTTTTTTATTTTATTTACTTAAATTTTTTTAATTTTAATTTTTACTTTTTAAAATTTTTCTTTATTTTATTTTTACCTTTCTTCCTTCTCTCCTATCCCCTAAGTTGCCTTTCTCTAGTGGTCACCTTTACTAAAGGTTATTAATATTGTAAGTACATTCCTGTTAAGTGCCTCTTGTGTTGTACCAGGTAGTGTTTGTATTTTGAAATTTTAAATCAACGCAGGAGAAGGAACACCACATAACCAGACATCCTGAGAAGAGAGGCCATGGGGAGACAAAAACATAGTCCGCACATGAAAGAAAAGCAGGCATCACCAGAAAAGGAAGTAAACGAGCCCGAGGTAAGCAGCCTACCAGAGCAAGAATTCAGAATAATGATCATAGGATGGCTAAAAAGAATGGAAGAGAAATTTGACAATAACCAAGAAGAAATGAGGAAGAACCATGAGGAACTGAAGAAGAACCATGAGGAATTGAAGAAGAACCAAGAAGAAATGAAAAATGACATCGCTACCATGAAGAACTCAATAGAAAGCATTGAGAGTAGACTAGAGGAAGCAGAGGACCGCATCAGTGAGCTAGAAGATAAGATGGAAAAAAATACCCAAGTAGAGCAGCTTCTAGAAAAAAAGATTAAAAAGCAGGAGGAGAGCCTACGGGAGCTTTGGGACATTACAAAACAAAATAATATTCGAATAATAGGGGTTCCAGAAGGAAAGGAAACTGAGGTAGACATGGAAAAAGTATTTCAAGAAATAATGACAGAAAACTTTCCTGAAATAGAGAAGAAAAAACCCACACAAATCCAAGATGCTCGCAGAGTCCCAAGCAAAATGAATCCCAGAAGACAGACTCCAAGGCACATTATAATCAAATTGGCAAACAACAATGACAAAGTAAGAATCTTAAAAGCAGCCAGAGAGAGACAGGAAGTTACATACAAAGGAACCCCCATCAGACTAGCAACTGATTTCTCAACAGAAACTTACCAGGCCAGAAGGGAATGGGATGAAATATACAAAGTCATGCAAAGGAAGGGTCTGAATCCAAGAATACTGTACCCAGCAAGGCTATCAATCAAAATTGAAGGGGAAATCAGGAGCTTCACAGACAAAAAAAGACTGAAGGAATTTATCTCCACCAAACCAGCAATGCAAGAAATGCTAAAGGGTCTACTGTAAAAATAAAGAAATAGGAAGTGAAGAAGGAACACGGGTATAGAATAAAAATGGCATCAAATGTGTACCTATCAATAATAACCTTAAACGTAAATGGATTAAATGCTCCAATCAAAAGACATAGGGTAACAGATTGGATAAGAAAACAAGACCCATACATCTGTTGTCTACAAGAAACCCACCTCAGAAAAAAAGATGCACACAGACTGAGGGTGAAGGGATGGAAAAAAGTTTTCCAGGCAAATGGAAATGAAAAAAAAGCTGGGGTAGCAATACTTATATCTGACAAATTAGATCTCAGAGTGAAGGACATAATAAGAGATAATGAAGGCCACTTCATAATACTAAAGGGAACAATCCAACAAGAAGAAATAACCCTGGTAAATATATATGCACCCAATACAGGAGCAACCAAATACATTAAAAAACTGCTGGAGGACATTAAGAGAGAGATTAATAGCAATACAATCATAGTAGGAGATTTTAATACCCCACTGTCACCCTTCGACAAATCATCTAAACAAAAAATCAGCAAAGAAATATCAATCCTAAGGGACTCACTAGACCAGATGGAATTAATTGACATCTTCAGAACACTCCACCCCAAAGCCACAGAATATACATTCTTCTCAAGTGCACATGGGACATTCTCAAAGATAGACCACATTTTGGGTCATAGGCAAAGTCTCTTCAAATTCAAGAAGATAGAAATCATATCAAGTATCTTCTCAGACCATAATGGCATAAAACTGGAAATTAACTACAATAAAAATAATCCAAAGAAATCAAACACATGGAGACTAAACAGCACGCTATTAAACAAGGACTGGGTTACCAGAGAAATCAAGGAAGAAATTAAAAACATCCTGGAAACAAATGACAATGAAAACACAACAATCCAAAATCTATGGGACACAGCAAAAGCAGTCTTAAGAGGGAAGTTCATATCCTTACAAGCCTATTGCAAAAAACTAGAAAAAAGGGTAACAGATGATCTAACTCTACAACTCAAAGAGTTAGAAAAGGAGCAACAAGAAAAGCCCAGTGTAAGCAGAAGGAAGGAAATAACAAAAATCAGAGCACAGATAAACGACATAGAGACCAAAAAAACAATACATAAGATCAACAAAACCAAGAGCTGGTTCTTTGAAAGAATAAACAAGATAGATGAACCTCTAGCCAGGCTAACTAAGAAACAAAGAGAGAGGACCCAAATAAACAAAATCAGAAATGAAAGAGGTGAAATAACAACAGACCCCAACGAAATACAACGGATTGTTACAAAATACTACGAACAACTCTATTCCAACAAACTGAACAACCTGGAGGAAATGGACATATTCCTAGAAAAATACAAACTTCCAAAACTCGATCAGGAAGAATCTAAAAATCTCAATAGACCAGTGACTTGGGAAGAAATTGAAACAGTCATCAGAAAGCTTCCAGCAAACAAAAGCCCAGGGCCAGATGGCTTCACAGGAGAGTTTTACCAAATATTCAAGGAAGAACTAAAACCTATCCTCCTCAGACTTTTCCAAAAAATTCAAGAGGAAGGAACACTTCCAAACTCCTTCTATGAAGCCAGCATCACCCTAATACCAAAACCAGATAAAGACAACTCAATGAAAGAGAATTACAGGCCAATATCCCTCATGAACATAGATGCCAAAATCCTCAACAAAATCCTAGCAAATCGGCTCCAGCAGAGCATCACAAAGATCATACACCATGACCAAGTAGGATTTATTCCAGGAATGAAAGGATGGTACAATATCCGCAAATCAATAAACGTGATACATCACATAAACAAATTGAAAGATAAAAATCATATAGTCATATCAATTGATGCAGAAAAAGCATTCGATAAAATCCAACACCCTTTCCTGATAAAAACTCTTAACAAGGTGGGAGTACAAGGATCATACCTCAACATAATAAAAGCTATATATGATAAACCCACAGCCAACATTATACTCAATGGGCAAAAACTAAAACCATTCCCTCTAAGAACAGGAACAAGACAGGGATGCCCACTTTCGCCACTCCTGTTTGACATAGTACTGGAAGTACTAGCCATTGCAATTAGACAAGAGGAGGAAATAAAAGGCATCCAAATTGGAAAAGAAGAAGTAAAGTTATCCTTATTTGCAGATGACATGATATTGTACATAAAGAACCCAAAAGACTCCATTAAGAAACTAATTGACTTAATAAATGAATTTGGCAATGTAGCAGGATACAAAATTAACGCCAAGAAATCCATGGCATTTCTATACACCAACAGTGAAACTACAGAAACAGAGACTAAAAAAGCAATTCC